ATGGTCCTACACATAGGTGGGACACTGAAAAGCCATCAGGACACAGGCCCTGGTACTGGGCCCCCTCAGGACCCTTAAGGTGTCATGGTCCTACACATCAGTGGGACACTGAGAAGCCATCAGGACACAGGCACTGGTACTTGGCCCCCTCAGGAACCTTAAGGTGTCATGGTCCTAAACATTGGTGGGACACTGAGAAGCCATCTGGACACAGGTACTGGTACTGGGCCCCCTCAGGACTATTAAGGTGTTATGGTCCTACACATAGGTGGGACACTGAAAAGCCATCAGGACACAGGCCCTGGTACTGGGCCCCCTCAGGACCCTTAAGGTGTCATGGTCCTACACATCAGTGGGACACTGAGAAGCCATCAGGACACAGGCACTGGTACTTGGCCCCCTCAGGAACCTCAAGGTGTCATGGTCCTAAACATTGGTGGGACACTGAGAAGCCATCAGGATACAGGCCCTATGCCTGGTGACTTTGTAATGTCAGAAACTGTTTATTTCTTTTCAAATTTTATATTTCGCATTTTAGAATTACAATGTGTTACAATTACCTGAATCATGTTTAATATTCCAGTCTAGATTTGAGTTTGCTGACCTGAAACAATCATATTATCAAAGATTGTCTGTGGAAATTAAGGTTGTTATAAAAATTGCTTCTGACATTTTCCCAGAACTACTTCAGCTGTTATTGTCTAGGCAACATTGTTGTAAAAAATGGAGACTGTCCTTGAATAACTAACCTCATCCATGTTGGCTTGAACCAAGTTGTTGAGCATAGACTTGAGACTGGCTAGAGTGGCATGCTTTAGACCGTCCAGCACAATGGCATCAATGTAGTCAATGTAATCTACCCAGGCGGGGGAGGCCTGGCTGATCTGTACTGCCTGTAAAAACAAGTAATGACATCTACAGAGGTCCACAGTCAATGTAGTCTATGTAATCTACCCAGGCGGGGGAGGCCTGGCTGATCTGTACTGCCTGTAAAAACAAGTAATGACATCTATAGAGGTCCACAGTCAATGTAGTCTATGTAATCTACCCAGGCGGGGGAGGTCTGTCTGATCTGTACTGCCTGTAAAAACAAGTAATGACATCTATTGAGGTCCACAGTCAATGAGTATAACCTGACATTAGTGAGGATGGTTTATCTATACCACTTTTTAATACAGGAAATCACATGTTGAGGCGCTTAGTCTAAAACATTTTAGTACATTAACAAAATATTGATGTCAACAAACATACCTCAAAAGACACTTGGACAAGGGCGTGGATCTTGTTCCCAGAGGGCAGCACGAGGGCTTCATGGTCCTCTGTCAGATTTCTGAGTTAAACAAGATGTATTATTTCTGATTATCTATTACTCTCAGGACTTTGTCAATAAAACAGAGTCTCATGGTCCTCTGTCAGATTCCTTTTTTATAAAAGATGTAACGAGTAGCTCTGATAATAAAACACTTAAATAATTATAATTATCAAAGTTATTTAGACCCATGCAGTGACGTGTCTATGACCTAATGTTATAATTTAGTCACCGAATGTGTGAGCTATTTCTGTAATTGTCACCTACTTTTGCATTTCTAGCAGTTCTTCCATGGAGTAGGAGGTGTCCACAGTTCGGCCAGAGAACACATCTAGAGTTCCTGCTGACCAGGAGATCGTGATCTCTGCGATCTCATGACAATTGGTCTGGACAGTATCCAGGTTCTGATGGACGTCCAGACAAACCAGGGCCATTGCCTGCTCAATAAAGTCGGCTGACTCCTTCATCTTCCAGGTGTACTGCTGGAGACCCTGCTCGAACAGCTGTAACACAACAGTCTATCCGGTCAATGTCTAAAATACCACCATATCTATAAAGCCTTCCCCCCACACTAAAGATGATCATCCAACTCTGCATAGAAAAGACGGGAGGCAATCACAATCATTAGGGAAATGTTGGAACTATAGTTATATAATGACCAGTGTTGATTGCCCTACAACACTTCTAAGTTATATAATGACCATTGTTGATTGCCCTACACCACTTCTAAGTTATATAATGACCATTGTTGATTGCCCTACACCACTTCTAAGTTATATAATGACCATTGTTGATTGCCCTACACCACTTCTAAGTTATATAATGACCATTGTTGATTGCCCTACACCACTTCTAAGTTATATAATGACCATTGTTGATTGCCCTACACCACTTCTAAGTTATATAATGACCATTGTTGATTGCCCTACACCACTTCTAAGTTATATAATGACCATTGTTGATTGCCCTACACCACTTCTAAGTTATATAATGACCATTGTTGATTGCCCTACAACGCTTCTAAGTTATATAATGACCAGTGTTGATTGTCCTACAACACTTCTAAGTTATATAATGACCATTGTTGATTGCCCTACAACGCTTCTAAGTTATATAATGACCAGTGTTGATTGTCCTACAACACTTCTAAGTTATATAATGACCATTGTTGATTGCCCTACAACGCTTCTAAGTTATATAATGACCAGTGTTGATTGCCCTACAACACTTAGAACTTCTCTGACATCTCATCGTTTATTGAATGGTCCTAAACTGGTTTAAACATTATGAGGATATAGTCCTCTGTATAACACTATCATTATGTGGTTAGGTCTGAGACTTTCTCAACATTCAGTCTCTTCCCTCACCTCTAGAAGTCATCTACATAATACAGGTGTCCAACAGTCATGGAGTTATGATATATTCTGTGAACAATTAGTTTTCAAAAATCTGTGTCAGTTTTTGTTGTTGTCTTTTACATTATAAACTCAGCAGTGAGTACTAAAATTCTGTTGTTAAAGGACAAAACTTAACTTCTTCATCTATTTTATAACTATATGAACAAAGTTAAATAAAATTCAGATCTCCTATGTGGGCTACAAGTGTTATAAGCAAACACATGAAATGGAGGAAATATTTTTTATATTTTTGCTAAAAATAGCGGCCAGAGGTTCTAGAATTGAGAAAAATGCCCTTTATGCAGCAAAATTGCGACTTTGTACCCACCCTAATAAAAAGTTCACTTTTTTTGTCATAATATCATTTAACTACTAAATATATAGGCTGAAACAAAGGGGGATATACTGAGGTTTTACTTACAGTGTCAGTTTTAGCAAGTTTCCTCTCAAACAGCGGCTTCTCAAACTCTGTGATAGTCCTCATGATAGTGTTGTACTTAGACACGATGGTCTCCAGGCGTGTCGCTGTTACACGCAGCTCAAACGCGTTGGTGTTACGCACAAGTTCCTTAGCTGCAGATGGCAGCTGAATGTTGAATGGCTGTTGGCTGAGATAGCTAATCTCCCGAAGTATTCGTAATAATTGTGAGTCGAGGTTAACATGGATGACTTGGGGGCGGACCTCCACATCCTCATCAAACTCCTCCGCTATCTGTTACAAAGGCAGCAAATATTTCTAAATTTATAATCACAAAAACTCATCAAAAGATATATATCGTACAAAACAAAATATTGTTTGTGCTTATCACAGAAAGATCATTAAAGAATGTTCTTAATATCTGAAATTTTTGAAAGTCACTTTCTATGAAAATACATTATTACTCATAACATGATTTTCAATTAGCAAGTATTAAGGGCTGTAAGAGTAAACATCTAGGAAGTTACACAAGGATATTGTTAATTTTCAAATTGGACTTTTTAAAAAAATAAAAATAAAAAAAATCTGACTTTATGAAATGGTATTATATCATCATGGTTAAAGCCCAGAGTTCTGCTTCCAGGGCCCGTATCATTTAGGTCCCAGATATATAACTTATAAAGGTCCAAGATATATAACTTATAGAGGTTCCAGATATATAACTTATAAAGGTCCCAGATATATAACTTATAGAGGTTCCAGATATATAACTTATAAAGGTCCCAGATATATAACTTATAAAGGTCCCAGATATATAACTTATAAAGGTCCCAGATATATAACTTATAAAGGTCCCAGATATATAACTTATAGAGGTTCCAGATATATAACTTATAGAGGTCCCAGATATATAACTTATAAAGGTCCCAGATATATAACTTATAAAGGTCCCAGATATATAACTTATAGAGGTCCCAGATATATAACTTATAGAGGTTCCAGATATATAACTTATAGAGGTCCCAGATATATAACTTATAAAGGTCCCAGATATATAACTTATAGAGGTCCCAGATATATAACTTATAGAGGTTCCAGATATATAACTTATAGAGGTCCCAGATATATAACTTATAAAGGTCCCAGATATATAACTTATAGAGGTCCCAGATATATAACTTATAGAGGTTCCAGATATATAACTTATAGAGGTCCCAGATATATAACTTATAAAGGTCCCAGATATATAACTTATAGAGGTCCCAGATATATAACTTATAGAGGTTCCAGATATATAACTTATAGAGGTCCCAGATATATAACTTATAAAGGTCCCAGATATATAACTTATAGAGGTCCCAGATATATAACTTATAGAGGTTCCAGATATATAACTTATAGAGGTCCCAGATATATAACTTATAAAGGTCCCAGATATATAACTTATAGAGGTCCCAGATATATAACTTATAGAGGTTCCAGATATATAACTTATAGAGGTCCCAGATATATAACTTATAGAGGTTCCAGATATATAACTTATAGAGGTCCCAGATATATAACTTATAGAGGTTCCAGATATATAACTTATAGAGGTCCCAGATATATAACTTATAGAGGTTCCAGATATATAACTTATAGAGGTCCCAGATATATAACTTATAAAGGTCCCAGATATATAACTTATAGAGGTCCCAGATATATAACTTATAGAGGTTCCAGATATATAACTTATAGAGGTCCCAGATATATAACTTATAAAGGTCCCAGATATATAACTTATAGAGGTCCCAGATATATAACTTATAGAGGTTCCAGATATATAACTTATAGAGGTCCCAGATATATAACTTATAAAGGTCCCAGATATATAACTTATAGAGGTCCCAGATATATAACTTATAGAGGTTCCAGATATATAACTTATAGAGGTCCCAGATATATAACTTATAAAGGTCCCAGATATATAACTTATAGAGGTCCCAGATATATAACTTATAGAGGTTCCAGATATATAACTTATAGAGGTCCCAGATATATAACTTATAAAGGTCCCAGATATATAACTTATAGAGGTCCCAGATATATAACTTATAGAGGTTCCAGATATATAACTTATAGAGGTCCCAGATATATAACTTATAAAGGTCCCAGATATATAACTTATAGAGGTCCCAGATATATAACTTATAGAGGTTCCAGATATATAACTTATAGAGGTCCCAGATATATAACTTATAAAGGTCCCAGATATATAACTTATAGAGGTCCCAGATATATAACTTATAGAGGTTCCAGATATATAACTTATAGAGGTTCCAGATATATAACTTATAGAGGTCCCAGATATATAACTTATAGAGGTTCCAGATATATAACTTATAGAGGTTCCAGATATATAACTTATAGAGGTTCCAGATATATAACTTATAGAGGTCCCAGATATATAACTTATAAAGGTCCCAGATATATAACTTATAAAGGTACCACATTATGACAGCCTCTCCTTAACATATATCAGATAAGACCCCATTTCTCACCAGAAGTGGCTGCTTGAGACGAAGAGTCAGTTCGGCAGTGATATTTTCTCGCCACTCGATCGTTAGGGTCTTCTGGAAGTCCTGTAACATGCGGTGACAGTCGTTGTACATGTCCCTCATCTGCCAGCCCGCGTCACCCTCGAGGGAGTGAGGACTTACACGCTTCATCTTCTCCATAGGGCGCTGTAAACATACAAATATCATCATCTTCTACTTCAATAATCCTATTACTTATTGATATTATTGTACGAATATTGAAAATACTTTAAAGGAATAACAAGATTACCATGAAATTTAGTTATCTTTAATATAATATGAGGCAAGGGTAGAGCCAACGCCGTGGTTTTCTTAAGTGTGGAATAATTTGGTCCTTTGCTCCACGTCTGGATACCCGAAAGTATGCAAAGGATTGAGTAAAAGTGAGAATATCATAAAATAGATTCAATCAAAACAGGCGAACGAGCAATAAGTTATTCTTGTAGTTTATTAGAAGTGACACTTCTAATAAACTACAAGAATAACTTGTTGCTTCTTCGCCTGTTGTGATTGAATCTATTTTATAATGTTTTTAATATAATTTGATGTCACAATCATTTCATCCAATCCTTTTCTCAGACATATTTGACTTTGACTTTCAAGCATGTGTCTGACCTTGATGCGTTCGATGAGTCCATGTATCCACATGAGTTTGCTCACGATCCGTGGCATGTTTGCATGACTGGGTGGGTGGTGCTGCTTCTCTTCAAACATTAGCCGTACATCATTGAGCTCGGCACTGAACGCCTTGATCAGCAGGGCATCCTTGTCTCGTAGGTGGATCTGTTAACAGAGTTGATTAATCGCTAATTACAAAATACACTGCCATCTCCTTAAATTACATGCTCTGGCAAAAACCTATGTAAAGGATTCATAATAGAAAAATAACTCTTCCTAAAAGTATTTATGTCCTAACTTTCAGATGATACTGGGAAAATTAACATGCTTTGAAAAGAGTTCTGTAGCTATGTGCGATCAAATAGAGATTTTACAACATGAGCAAACCCTTCCTCATTTAGACAGATTAGAGTTTATAATGATTGGGTTTTTTTTCATTACTTTGGAAGTTACATATTGATTGCTGTATATATACCTAGACAAGCTCACACTATTAATGTCGACAAACATACGTAAATGTTAGGTTACCTGAACCAGCTCGCGACTACTGACACCCTCAAACACTTCAAGGAGTCGGAGCTGAGCGTCTACTGTTGGACACTGGTTGTAGGACAGACGCAGGATCTCAGAGAGTCTCTTCTCTAATGCCTGGGTGATAATAAGTCAATGATTTTATTACAATCCTATCAGGCCCTCCTTAAATGCAGTTCAACATAAGTTTACTATACAATTATAGTCAACAATATGAATCAAAACATCTAGAAAGTAATATACATGTGGCTTATGAAAGTATCTACAATATCAGCCAATACAAGAATGTCCTTCCCATCAGAACAGATGTAACAAAATTAGATCAATGTGTTTGTCAGTTTTATTCATGCCCTCACCTTTACTACTGTTCTAAATTTGAAAAAGGATCGTTCAAAGTTCTGTGTGCCATCAATGCTGAGGACGTTCCCAACAACACTGAAAAACTCGCGCATTGAGTGTGTGTACTTGGCATGGATTTCTTTGACCAGAGCATCCAGACTCATACTACCGGCGCCACCTATTTCTGCTGCGTCTGCTAATAGACGGAAATGGCGTGTTGTTTCCACCAATTCCAACACATCATTGCACCTGTAAGATAAACCCATTAAATTACACTAGTTAGATGTATAACACATCATTACACCTGTAAGATAAACCCATTAAATTACACTAGTAAGATGTATAACACATCATTGCACCTGTAAGATAAACCCATTAAATTACACTAGTAAGATGTATAACACATCATTGCACCTGTAAGATAAACCCATTAAATTACACTAGTAAGATCCATAATACACCATTACAATAGTGACGATGTCAATACAATTAATAAAAAATAAAACAAGCACGAAAATTACACACATTCATACATAATCAAATGAAGTCCAGTCCACACTCTTTTCTTCTATTTGAAATAAAATGTTCATATTGATTTTAGCATTCCAAAATTTAGATTTTCAAAAATAAAACCAACATCATTTTGCACACTTTATAATAAATATGAACACCTACACTTGATAGATTATGCTTTACCTTTCCATGAAATTATTGAGGAGATCGAAACAAGGGGCATTGCGTGGAGGCCACGGACTGTCTGTCCACAACTCATCCTCACTGATTGAACTACTGCTGGAGTTAGCGTCCTGGTGTCTCATACCGTAGCGTGGTGTGTAGGCGTGCGGACCATACATCTTAGTGAGAAACAGAGTTCCCTGGGGTTGGCACGCCCTGAAGGCAACAGAATGAAAACTTCAGTTGATGTGGAAAAATATCTTCATTCAAAAATGCTTTAATTTTCATAAACAAACTGAAATATATTCCTATATAACTGACATCATCTCATCTTCCTCCATAACTTATAACATCTCATCTTCCTCCATAACTTATAACATCTCATTTTTCTTGCATAGTTTATAATATCTCAGTTCCCTGTATAAATTGATAATATACCGGTTTATGTAATTAACTTACAATCTTTCAGCATTCTCTGTGATGTTCCTGGCCTAACCACTCCCTGCTACCTATTAACTTACAATCTCTCAGCATTCTCTGTGATGTTCCTGTATAACCACTCCCTGCTACCTATTAACTTACAATCTCTCAGCATTCTCTGTGATGTTCCTGTATAACCACTCCCTGCTACCTATTAACTTACAATCTCTCAGCATTCTCTGTGATGTTCCTGTATAACCACTCCCTGCTACCTATTAACTTACAATCTCTCAGCATTCTCTGTGATGTTCCTGTATAACCACTCCCTGCTACCTATTAACTTACAATCTCTCAGCATTCTCTGTGATGTTCCTGTATAACCACTCCCTGCTACCTATTAACTTACAATCTCTCAGCATTCTCTGTGATGTTCCTGTATAACCACTCCCTGCTACCTATTAACTTACAATCTCTCAGCATTCTCTGTGATGTTCCTGTATAACCACTCCCTGCTACCTATTAACTTACAATCTCTCAGCATTCTCTGTGATGTTCCTGTATAACCACTCCCTGCTACCTATTAACTTACAATCTCTCAGCATTCTCTGTGATGTTCCTGTATAACCACTCCCTGCTACCTATTAACTTACAATCTCTCAGCATTCTCTGTGATGTTCCTGTATAACCACTCCCTGCTACCTATTAACTTACAATCTCTCAGCATTCTCTGTGATGTTCCTGTATAACCACTCCCTGCTACCTATTAACTTACAATCTCTCAGCATTCTCTGTGATGTTCCTGTATAACCACTCCCTGCTACCTATTAACTTACAATCTCTCAGCATTCTCTGTGATGTTCCTGTATAACCACTCCCTGCTACCTATTAACTTACAATCTCTCAGCATTCTCTGTGATGTTCCTGTATAACCACTCCCTGCTACCTATTAACTTACAATCTCTCAGCATTCTCTGTGATGTTCCTGTATAACCACTCCCTGCTACCTATTAACTTACAATCTCTCAGCATTCTCTGTGATGTTCCTGTATAACCACTCCCTGCTACCTATTAACTTACAATCTCTCAGCATTCTCTGTGATGTTCCTGTATAACCACTCCCTGCTACCTATTAACTTACAATCTCTCAGCATTCTCTGTGATGTTCCTGTATAACCACTCCCTGCTACCTATTAACTTACAATCTCTCAGCATTCTCTGTGATGTTCCTGTATAACCACTCCCTGCTACCTATTAACTTACAATCTCTCAGCATTCTCTGTGATGTTCCTGTATAACCACTCCCTGCTACCTATTAACTTACAATCTCTCAGCATTCTCTGTGATGTTCCTGTATAACCACTCCCTGCTACCTATTAACTTACAATCTCTCAGCATTCTCTGTGATGTTCCTGTATAACCACTCCCTGCTACCTATTAACTTACAATCTCTCAGCATTCTCTGTGATGTTCCTGTATAACCACTCCCTGCTACCTATTAACTTACAATCTCTCAGCATTCTCTGTGATGTTCCTGTATAACCACTCCCTGCTACCTATTAACTTACAATCTCTCAGCATTCTCTGTGATGTTCCTGTATAACCACTCCCTGCTACCTATTAACTTACAATCTCTCAGCATTCTCTGTGATGTTCCTGTATAACCACTCCCTGCTACCTATTAACTTACAATCTCTCAGCATTCTCTGTGATGTTCCTGTATAACCACTCCCTGCTACCTATTAACTTACAATCTCTCAGCATTCTCTGTGATGTTCCTGTATAACCACTCCCTGCTACCTATTAACTTACAATCTCTCAGCATTCTCTGTGATGTTCCTGTATAACCACTCCCTGCTACCTATTAACTTACAATCTCTCAGCATTCTCTGTGATGTTCCTGTATAACCACTCCCTGCTACCTATTAACTTACAATCTCTCAGCATTCTCTGTGATGTTCCTGTATAACCACTCCCTGCTACCTATTAACTTACAATCTCTCAGCATTCTCTGTGATGTTCCTGTATAACCACTCCCTGCTACCTATTAACTTACAATCTCTCAGCATTCTCTGTGATGTTCCTGTATAACCACTCCCTGCTACCTATTAACTTACAATCTCTCAGCATTCTCTGTGATGTTCCTGTATAACCACTCCCTGCTACCTATTAACTTACAATCTCTCAGCATTCTCTGTGATGTTCCTGTATAACCACTCCCTGCTACCTATTAACTTACAATCTCTCAGCATTCTCTGTGATGTTCCTGTATAACCACTCCCTGCTACCTATTAACTTACAATCTCTCAGCATTCTCTGTGATGTTCCTGTATAACCACTCCCTGCTACCTATTAACTTACAATCTCTCAGCATTCTCTGTGATGTTCCTGTATAACCACTCCCTGCTACCTATTAACTTACAATCTCTCAGCATTCTCTGTGATGTTCCTGTATAACCACTCCCTGCTACCTATTAACTTACAATCTCTCAGCATTCTCTGTGATGTTCCTGTATAACCACTCCCTGCTACCTATTAACTTACAATCTCCCAACATTCTCTGTGATGTTCCTGTATAACCACTCCCTGCTACCTATTAACTTACAATCTCTCAGCATTCTCTGTGATGTTCCTGGCATTTTGATCGTCTGCCTTATCCTTGTAATCTAGATACGTCCCCCGGAATGCTGCACATACACGCAGGGCATCCTTTAATTTAGAGTACGACTGAAAATCAACAATATCAATAGTCAAAACAAAAACCCAACAATATCAATAGTTAAAACAAAAACACCATATTTTTGTCACGGTTTAATATCAAGTTCATGATACAATCTCAGGAGACAAAATCTGACTTTGTTGATATCAAGATATTGCAATAAACATGTTTATTGTCAACAAAAACAACAATAAACATGTTTATTGTCAACAAAAACAACAATAAACATGTTATATTGTCAACAAAACCAACAATAAACATGTTTATTGTCAACAAAAACAACAATAAACATGTTTATTGTCAACAAAAACAACAATAAACATGTTATATTGTCAACAAAACCAACAATAAACATGTTTATTGTCAACAAAACCAACAATTATTGTAACAAGTTCACAACCGTCTAGTAAACTCATACACAGACTGACCAGTCTCTATTTGGACATTGATTTTCTCGGGCTAATATTTTTGTTAAACAGGACATCACGAAAGTCACCTGTGTATAAAGCTATTTAGCTCACGTGTCATTCCCTGTTACAATGTCACAAAGTCACCTGTATATAAAGCTATTCAGCTCACGTGTCATTCCCTGTTACAATGTCACAAAGTCACCTGTGTATAAAGCTATTTAGCCCACGTTTCATCCCCTGTTACAATGTCACAAAGTCACCTGTATATAAAGCTAATTAGCTCACGTGTCATTCCCTGTTACAATGTCACAAAGTCACCTGTGTATAAAGCTATTTAGCCCACGTTTCATCCCCTGTTACAATGTCACAAAGTCACCTGTATATAAAGCTATTTAGCTCACGTGTCATTCCCTGTTACAATGTCACAAAGTCACCTGTGTATAAAGCTATTTATATTAGCTCACATGTCATCCCCTGTTACAATGTCACAAAGTCACCTGTGTATAAAGCTATTTAGCTCACGTTTCATTCCCTGTTACAAAGTCACAAAGTCACCTGTATATAAAGCTATATATCTCACGTTTCATTCCCTGTTACAATGTCACAAAGTCACCTGTATATAAAGCTATTTAGCTCACGTTTCATTCCCTGTTACAAAGTCACAAAGTCACCTGTATATAAAGCTATATAGCTCACGTTTCATTCCCTGTTACAATGTCACAAAGTCACCTGTATATAAAGCTATTTTGCTCACGTTTCATTCCCTGTTACAATGTCACAACAGTCAAATATTGACGGAAAATAAACACAAGCTGTAAAATGCAATAAATCATGGGTGACAAATCACACTGTGCCTAACACTGATCAATAGTGTTGTCTCACTGTGTTTTAACACTGATCAATAGTGTTACATGTTGTCGCACTGTGTTTTAACACTGATCAATAGTATACAGTTGTCGGCCTCGGGAAACAGTTCATCTGGAGGGTCCCAACTCCTCGGGAAAATAGTTTTGACTGTTGACTGATAAGGCATGAAACAACTGTTTTGTTACTTAACAATGAAAAACCAAAAAGTTCCATGTCGAATGTGATGTTTAGATCTACCTACAGACGACCGTCAACAATCCAGTACCAAAAACGCTTGATCATCGGGGTGCTTGTAATTATAGGTGCGTTCGATTACCTAACATGTGACCAGTCAACAGTTTCACATGACCAGTCAACAGTTTCATGTGACCAGTCAACAGTTTTACGGTGACCAGTCAACAGTTTTACGGTAGCACACATTAGCTATAGTTCGTTTGGTGAATTGTCTGGGAAACAGTCAAAATTGATTAATGTGCATTTATATAGCGAGTCATGTAACAATGTTACATGTTGTCTCACTGTTTTTAACACTGATCAATAGTGTTACATGTTGTCTCACTGTGTTTTAACACTGATAAATAGTGTTACATGTTGTCTCACTGTGTTTTAACACTTATCAATAGTGTTACATGTTGTCTCACTCTGTTTTAATACTGATCAATAATGTTACATGTTGTCTCACTGTTTTTAACACTGATCAATAAATAGTGTTACATGTTGTCTCTCTGTGTTTAACACTGATCAATAGTGTTACATGTTGTCGCAATGTGTTTTAACACTGATCAATAGTGTTTCATGTTGTCTCACTGTTTTTAACACTGATCAATAAATAGTGTTACATGTTGTGTCACTGTGTTTAAAACTGATCAATAGTGTTACATGTTGTCTCACTGTGTTTTAACACTTATCAATAGTGTTACATGTTGTCGCACTGTATTTTAACACTGATCAATAGTGTTACATGTTGTCTCACTGTGTTTTAACACTGATCATTAGTGTTACATGTTGTCGCACTGTGTTTTAACACTGATCAATAGTGGTACATGTTGTCTCACTGTGTTTTAACACTGATCAATAGTGGTACATGTTGTCTCACTGTGTTTAACACTGATCAATAGTGTTACATGTTGTCTCACTGAGTTTTAACACTGATCAATAGTGTTACATGTTGTCTCCCTGTGTTTTAACACTGATCAATAGTGTTACATGTTGTCTCACTGTTTTTAACACTGATCAATAAATAGTGTTACATGTTGTCTCACTGTGTTTAACACTGATCAATAGTGTTACATGTTGTCTCACTGTGTTTTAACACTGATCAATAGTGTTACATGTTGTCACACTGTGTTTTAACACTGATCAATAGTGTTACATGTTGTCTCACTTGGTGAAAAATGGCAACTTTACTTTATATGTTGACCTGGACTTCTAACAAACTTCAATCTTGATATGTTACTTACCTCAAGTGGTTCCCTGAGGATGTCCTCACCAACCAAGGCAATGGCGCGGTGGACAACCTCGTTAGACAGCATCCGCAGGATGTTGTGGAACTTGTCCATCTGGTGATAGTACCTGTAACAGACAAATCACAGCTCACTGAGGACATCTCAACAGACACATCACAGCTCAATTAGGACATCTCAACAGACAAATCACAGCTCACTGATGATATCTCAACAGACAAATCACAGCTCAATTAGGACATCTCAACAGACAAATCACAGCTTACTTAGGATATCTCAACAGACAAATCACAGCTCACTCAGGACATCTCAACAGACAAATCACAGCTCACTTAGGACATCTCAACAGACAAATCACAGCTCACTTAGGACATCTCAACAGACAAATCACAGCTCACTTAAGATATCTCAACAGACAAATCACAGCTCACTTAGGACATCTCAACAGACAAATCACAGCTCACTTAGGACATCTCAACAGACAAATCAAAGCTTACTTAGGATATCTTAACAGACAAATCAAAGCTTACTTAGGATATCTCAACAAACAAATCACAGCTCACTTAGGACATCTCAACAGATTACACCATAGCTACCTTAGGACATCTCAACAGATTACACCATAGCTAACTTAGGATATCTCAACAGATTACACCATAGCTAACTTAGGACATCTCAACAGATTACATCATAGCTAACTTAGGACATCTCAACAGATTACACCATAGCTACCTTAGGATATCTCAACAGATTACACCATAGCTAACTTAGGATATCTCAACAGATTACACCATAGCTAACTTTGGATATCTCAACAGATTACACCATAGCTCATTTAGTATACCTCATCAGATTAAAGCAAAGCTCATTTGATATACTTCAACAGATTAAAACATAGCTCACGGAGAGTTAGGAGATATAAACCACAACTAAGAGTGATTGGAGGTGAGAATCAATATCAGTGTGAGTTGGAGTAGGCTGACAGAAAGTAAACACTGAATTGAAGTGATTGCGGCTGAAACTTACACAGAGTTCTGCCAGACACGGAAGAGAACTTGCATGAGGGGCTGAAACAGTTTGAGCATCTGTCTTGGATCTAGTGTGCTGTGGAGATCCTCAAACAACCACTGCATTGTGCTCAGGAACTTGAGAGTCCGGTTCACATCCGTCACTGCCTGCAAGTCAGGGAAAACTAGTTAAAGGCTGGTAATGCATTGTAAGCTGTATGATAAGGAGCCGATGTTAACTTACATAAACACAACCACTAAGTTCTTTTATTTACTTAAAAAGTGAGCAGGATCATATAATTAATCGAGGATTCAATTTTGAAAATATTGAAAAAACTAGACCCATTGAAGGTTTGATTAAGGTGATTATATGCTAAATATAGCGTATATTGTTGTATATAAACCATTTGGGCTGCAACGATACATTACCATCACGAAAGCTAGGATACATATCACGATATTGTGGTCGGAATATGTATAGAGAACACATAAGTTGACATGTACAATGTTGGCGTTTGCTGACCAATGTTGCTGCCCTTGACAGTGGGTAATTAAAGGGAGTACAGGATGACCCAGTAACTGAGAGTATACAGGACACCACTAGTGTGTACTGTGTCTACCCTATACAGCCTACCCTGTTCACATCCTTCCTGACATGGTTGAAGGAGCTGGAATACTGGCTTTGTGCCTGGTCAAGGTTCTGTAGGATGTCCTTGGCTACTGGTGATTCCAGCTGGCGAAGGATCGAGTGTAAGCGTCCTAGTTGTCTCTCCCACATCTTTATTTCGTCCAGTGGGCCAGGCTCTGGGCCATAGTGGTGGATCAGGTCAGCGATGGGGTCATGTCGGAGGACACCCTACAGTTCAAAGGTAAGATTTATTCAACCTGTTACCAATACATTCCTTGACATAACAATATTTTGTTGTTATGTTTTGTAATGTAATTTATCATTATTTTGATAGTGCTTATAATCTTGAAGATTTATTGTATTATATATATATATTGCTTACCTTGATCTAAAGGTGTAAGATTCTACTTACCCAGATCTAAAGATGAACAGTATGGCTTACCTGGATTTAAAGGTGTACAGTACTGGTTACCTTGTTCAAATGGTGTACATTACTGCTTACCTTGTTCATATGGTGTACATTACTGCTTACCTTGATCTAAATGTGTACAGTACTGCTTACCTTGTTCAAATGGTGTACAGTACTGCTTACCTTGATCAAAAGGTGTACAATACTGCTTACCTTGATCTAAAGGTGTACAATACTTCTCACCTTGATCTAAAGGTGTACAGTACTGCTTACCTTGATCTAAAGGTGTAAATTACTGCTCATCTTCATATGTACTGCTTGTATATGTTGATATCACCTTGATCTAAAGGTGTATAATATTTCCTTCATCTGAAGGTGTATTGCAATGTTACCTTGATCTGTTTGATCCAAGCAAGAACTGTAGTTTCCAGTACATGAAGTACCGAGCCTCTGCGTGCAGGGGTAGCTGCAGCCTCTGCTAGTACTTCTATAGACGGCAGACTCAGGATGATTCGGCCCTGTAATAGGTCATTTTACTGGATTAATCCAATATCCTACAGCAACCTAACAGTGCTATACTGTATCTCCTCCCTATTCTCTACGTACTTGTATATATACAGGGTTAGAAACATTCAACTTGTTTTAAATTTTCAAAAAATGTTATCAGCTTTGCTGAAAGCTACCTGACATAGACAAATAGACTTCAGGCTGCTATTTCTAACCCCAACATAAAATATACAGGTTGTAAAACATGGTCAGGAATTATTTATATGAAAATACACAAGAAACAGGAAACTGAACAAAAATAACTTATTAAGTTCCTAAAAACTAAAATCACAGATTCAGTGTTAGCTATACGTTTGTACTTTGTAAATTGTAGCCATCATGATTATGTAGCAGTTACACATTACATATGGTCATATGACTGCCACATTAACCTTAATCTGACCTCAACCAAGACAGTGTACCCAAGTTCATACAGAAGGCAAAAATGAAACCCTGCTGATTATCATTGTACATGCATGTTAGTTACATCATTTTGTATACCCAGTATTCTATAAAGTATAGTTAGCATTTATCATAAAAATCAGATGATATGGATAAGACATATGGTATGGTGTCCACACTTTTCTGACTCAGACTGGTTCATGTCCCAACTTTTATAATGGCTGACTTACCTCTACATGGCCTTGTGACACCTCTACAATAGACATGAGTCTGTGCAGCACATCCATCACTTTGTCTCCTCCAGCTGCTGCTAGATTGGACTGGTTCGTACACAATAAAGGCAGGTACACCTCCCTCACAATCAGCTCAAGGTGTTCAAGTGGAACATCAGTACAATCAACAAAGAACACCTCATTTCCTGTATCATAAATTAACATGTGATTGTACAGGACTGAACTGTTCATTGATGGAAAACTAATGCAACAAAAACGTTCTAATTCCAGCAATGTGATGTCCAGTACATCAAAAGAGGAGTGTAAGATTAAATCTATGTATGCCTTACTTCTGGTTGTACACTATATCTATGTATGCCTTACTTCTGGTTGTACACTATATCTATGTATGCCTTACTTCTGGTTGTACACTATATCTATGTATGCCTTACTTCTGGTTGTACACTATATCTATGTATGCCTTACTTCTGGTTGTACACTATATCTATGTATGCCTTACTTCTGGTTGTACACTATATCTATGTATGCCTTACTTCTGGTTGTACACTATATCTATGTATGCCTTACTTCTGGTTGTACACTATATCTATGTATGCCTTACTTCTGGTTGTACACTATATCTATGTATGCCTTACTTCTGGTTGTACACTATATCTATGTATGCCTTACTTCTGGTTGTACACTATATCTATGTATGCCTTACTTCTGGTTGTACACTATATCTATGTATGCCTTACTTCTGGTTGTACACTATATCTATGTATGCCTTACTTCTGGTTGTACACTATATCTATGTATGCCTTACTTCTGGTTGTACACTATATCTATGTATGCCTTACTTCTGGTTGTACACTATATCTATGTATGCCTTACTTCTGGTTGTACACTATATCTATGTATGCCTTACTTCTGGTTGTACACTATATCTATGTATGCCTTACTTCTGGTTGTACACTATATCTATGTATGCCTTACTTCTGGTTGTACACTATATCTATGTATGCCTTACTTCTGGTTGTACACTATATCTATGTATGCCTTACTTCTGGTTGTACACTATATCTATGTATGCCTTACTTCTGGTTGTACACTATATCTATGTATGCCTTACTTCTGGTTGTACACTATATCTATGTATGCCTTACTTCTGGTTGTACACTATATCTATGTATGCCTTACTTCTGGTTGTACACTATATCTATGTATGCCTTACTTCTGGTTGTACACTATATCTATGTATGCCTTACTTCTGGTTGTACACTATATCTATGTATGCCTTACTTCTGGTTGTACACTATATCTATGTATGCCTTACTTCTGGTTGTACACTATATCTATGTATGCCTTACTTCTGGTTGTACACTATATCTATGTATGCCTTACTTCTGGTTGTACACTATATCTATGTATGCCTTACTTCTGGTTGTACACTATATCTATGTATGCCTTACTTCTGGATTCACACTATATCTATATATGCCTTACTTCTGGTTGTACACTATATCTATATATGCCTTACTTCTGGTTGTACACTATATTTATGTATGCCTTACTTCTGGTGGTACACTATATCTATGTATGCCTCACTTCTGGTTGCACACTATATCTATGTATGCGTTACTTCTGGTTGTACACTATATTTATGTATGCCTTCCTTCTGGTTGTACACTATATCTATGTATGCCTCACTTCTGGTTGCACACTATATCTATTTATGCCTTACTTCTGGATGTACACTATATCTATGTATGATATCTATGTATGCCTTACTTCTGGTTGTAAACTATATCTATGTATGCCTTACTTCTGGTTTCACACTATATCTATGTATGCCTTACTTCTGGATGTACACTATATTTAGGTACATGCCTTACTTCTGGATGTACACTATATCTATGTATGCCTTACTTCTGGTTGCACACTATATCTATGTGTGCCTTACTTCTGGTTGTACACTATATTTAGGTACATGCCTTACTTCTGGTTGTACACTATATCTATGTATAGTGCATATAACAAAACATTACCACAACTTGGTACAAGTTTCAATTACAAAGGATAATGGATTTTAATACAAGCTGTATCTCAGATGTACCCCTCTCAACAGTGATAAAGGTCAATCATTTGAGTACCCAGATATGGGTCAGGTTTTAAATTTTGGTAACCCAGGCTAAAATTATGTACCTGTGTCAGCCAAAGAAACTTAACAAGTATTTTTTTAATATCTTCATCAGTAATTTTAAAACTCTACAAATAAAGTTTCAATCTTGTATTTCAAGATATACAACTAAGGTGAAATATTGTATTAAACTGTCGTTAAGTTAATAGACTATGAACAATTCTTTTTCAAAACAAAATTTATTTTATAATAAGGCAAAATATTGTGAGCCATCCATAGTCCTACACTTTCTGAAAAAACTTCTGTATCATAAAAGGGCAATAACTCTTTATACTGTTAGACATGAAACTAGTATGCGACATTCTGACATCCCTATACATCCTCATATATGACATTAGGTAACTGTATGTGACAGATCAAATGAGGTACCCCAGACAAAGTTGATTACTGATGGACCGACTGATAGACAAATGGAGTGCAAACCAATAGTACATCTCTGTTAACAGTGGAGGAACAGCTATTGTGTGAGCGGGGTAGTATTTTCAATTCTTACATGTGTACATTTTTTATTTATTGCCAATATTAAAAAAAAAAATACTGGATCCAAATTTTCAATTCACAAGTCATTAAGATATTAAGTCGTCCAAACAGCATGTTTTTTGTAACCTAAACTGTGATAGATAATACTGTATGACATTTTAAGGTTTTTGACAGCATCCTTACCGATATTTTCTTTGGTTAGCTTGGTGCCAGCTTTACACTTGAGGAAGAAGATTGATTTGTACTTGAGATCATGTGGTGGAATCAGTGAGGCCGTTATATGTTTGGATGGCCGACTGAACACAAACAGGCGTCGCACATCCTCATTATTAATAAACTCATAAAATGCCAGCCTGCAAAAAAAAAAAATTTGGATCAACAACTGTAAAGTTTATATGTACAATGATAATGGAGAAAATATATTTGAAAAATTGTAAGAAGTGGAGAAACGTTATAGAATCTATTAACTCCTCAGCAAAACGTTCGCCTCTACACCAGTACACATGTTGACATACCCTCTACACCAGTACACATGTTGACATACCCTCTTCACCAGTACACATGTTGACATACACTCAACACCAGTACACATGTTGACATACCCTCTACACCAGTTCACGTACATGTTGACATACCTCTACACCAGTACACATGTTGACATACCCTCTATACCAATACCCATGTTGACATACCCTCTACACAAGTACACATGTTGCCATCCCCTCTACACCAGTACACATGTTGACATCCCCTCTACACCAGTACACATGTTGCCATACCCTCTACACCAGTACCCATGTTGACATACCCTCTACACCAGTACCCATGTTGAAATACACTCTACACCAGTACACATGTTGACATACACTCTACACTAGTACACATGTTGACATACCCTCTACACCAGTTTACATGTTGACATACACTCTACACCAGTACCCATGTTGACATACACTCTACACCAGTACCCATGTTGACATACCCTCTACCCCAGTACCCATGTTGACATACCCTCTACACCAGTACACATGTTCACATACCCTCTACACCAGTACACATGTTGACATTCCCTCTACACCAGTACACATGTTGACATACCCTCGATACCAATACACATGTTGACATACCCTCTACACCAGTACACGTACATGTTGACATACCTCTATACCAGGACACATGTTGACATACCCTCTACACCAGTACACGTACATGTTGACATACCTCTATACCAGTACACATGTTGACATACCCTCTATACCAGTCCACATGTTGACATACCCTCTACACCAGTACACGTACATGTTGACATACCTCTATACCAGGACACATGTTGACATACCCTCTACACCAGTACACATGTTCACATACCCTCTACACCAGTACACATGTTGACATACGCTCTACACCAGTACACATGTTGACATACCCTCTATACCAGTACACATGTTGACATACCCTCTATACCAATACCCATGTTGACATACCCTCTACACAAGTACACATGTTGCCATCCCCTCTACACCAGTACACATGTTGACATCCCCTCTACACCAGTACACATGTTGCCATACCCTCTACACCAGTACCCATGTTGACATACACTCTACACCAGTACACATGTTAACATACCCTCTACACCAGTACACATGTTGACATCCCCTCTACACCAGTACACATGTTGCCATACCCTCTACACCAGTACCCATGTTGACATACCCTCTACACCAGTACACATGTTCACATACCCTCTACACCAGTACACATGTTGACATACCCTCTATACCAATACACATGTTGACATACCCTCTACACAAGTACACATGTTGACATACCCTCTACACCAGTACACATGTTGACATACCCTCTATACCAGTACACATGTTGATATGTGGCCTCTACACCAGTACACATGTTGACATGGGGCCTCTACACCAGTACACATGTTGACATGGGGCCTCTACACCAGTACACATGTTGACATGGGGCCTCTACACCAGTACACATGTTGACATGGGGCCTCTACACCAGTACACATGTTGACATACAGGCTACACCAGTACACATGTTGACATACCCTCTTCACCAGTACACATGTTGACATACACTCTATACCAGTACACATGTTGACATACCCTCTACACAAGTACACACGTTGACATACCCTCTACACCAGTACACATTTTGACATACCCTCTACGCCAGTACACATGTTGACATACCCTCTACACCAATACACATGTTGACATACCCTCTACACCAGGACACATGTTGACATACCCTCTATACCAGTACACATGTTGATATGTGGCCTCTACACCAGTACACATGTTGACATGGGGCCTCTACACCAGTACACATGTTGACATGTGGCCTCTACACCAGTACACATGTTTACATGTGGCCTCTACACCAGTACACATGTTTACATGTGGCCTCTACACCAGTACACATGTTGACATGGGGCCTCTACACCAGTACACATGTTGACATGGGGCCTCTACACCAGTACACATGTTGACATGGGGCCTCTACACCAGTACACATGTTGACATGTGGCCTCTACGCCAGTACACATGTTGACATGTGGCCTCTACGCCAGTACACATGTTGACATGTGGCCTCTACGCCAGTACACATGTTGACATGTGGCCTCTACGCCAGTACACATGTTGACATGTGGCCTCTACTCCAGTACACATGTTGACATGTGGCCTCTACGCCAGTACACATGTTGACATGTGGCCTCTACTCCAGTACACATGTTGACATGTGGCCTCTACGCCAGTACACATGTTGACATGTGGCCTCTACACCAGTACACATGTTGACATGTGACCTCTGCATCAGTACACTTGTATAAGATTTTCTAATGTTTTCAAATACAACATGAAGGGAAAAATGTTCCTGCCAATGCTGTTAATTAGGAGCAATATAGTGCTGATCAATACAAGTACTCTTTGATTATTAGATCTATATAAAACTTGATAATGATAAAGCCTTTTAATATTGTGCCATGTACTTTGATTTAGTGATATAAAATTTGATCAAGCCCTTTAGTATTTTGTTTTTTATTTTGATTAAGAAACATAAAATTTGATCAAGCCCTTTAATATTTTGCTATGTTAAATGTTTTCTATTTAATACTTTTATCTCAACCACTAAACTATCTTTTAAATGCACCTGAGTGAAATATAACGTGGAAGTAGTGGGGAGATAGTGGGAGGGCAGATTCAGTTAGAGTCAGACTTGTTATAATCCTATTTTAAAAAATTTGAAAGATCTCAAATACATTAATTTATTAATCACTTTCTAAAACAACTGCTTTCATGGATATTTCACATAGTTACCAAGTATATCTTATCTTGATCCTAAGAAAGAATTATTATTATTTAATCTGACAGCTAGTGTTTATTCTATCTATTACATGTAAAACAGTTTACGATAATAATTCATCACCTATCATTGTAATTAATCATGCTATTTACTGTACTGGACTAGGAATTAATATCTGTACATTCTATCTATATCCCCATGCTTTTGTTTTGAAATATGTTGAAATGAAAATACAAATGGCTAATACCTGTTTTCATCATTGAGGAACATGTTTTTAAGCTCCTCGTTCCTGGGTCTCAGGGAAGAGCTGATCCTCCCCTCCAGCCATTTCAACCTCTCATCCATCTTGATTGTTTTTGTACTGGAAATAAGTTTTTTTTAATTAATACTCATAATCAAAACATCATGCATATATAAGATCTGTGTTATATAGCATGACCCCCTGTGAAATTAAACAAGCCCCTAAGTCCCAATCCACTTCATTCTTATAGCTTCCATCATTTGACAAGCGCCAGCATTCCCTTCTGCTTCTTTTTTTTTTTGAAATGCAGCAAATGCCCCTGATGATATTTTCATGAATGTCATATAACAATACCATAAAACTGATACAACAAATTTGCACATTAAACCCATTTGCAACCAAAATAAATACAAAGATATAGAAGTAAAATTCACAGAAAACTAAGGGATTTACTGAGCTGTTTCATTCTTAGCCCTGGCAATCATTTTACAAAATATCCAAACATTACTTCTCTCTTCAATTTCTTGTTTTGAATGTTTCTGATGATACAACTATGAGAATCCCATAAGCAATGAAAAGGCACAGTATCAGTTATCAATCACAGAAACTTAAAGAACATCTATTTTTAATTATATAAGGATTTGTGCTAATAAATAATGTTGAAAGGCTCAGACAGATCAACAATATCCAAAACACCCTGTCCTGATATTAAATGATACAGATCAAAATGGCTGCTAATTCATTTAATCCTCACTTCAAAAACTCATGACCGGATATCTGCTGGGGAACCTCTTTGTCAGCACAGTTTGATATGTCTCGTAACATGTACATCAGAACATGAGCATCGCGATTATCATATCAGGTCAGGACAACAGTTTTTCATTTTAAGAACATTATTCCGTCTTTGCGTATTGCAGAGTTATCTTCTCTTGTGAGCAGGTAATGATTGTTACGTCATTGGTTTGTGAGAGTAACGTCATCAAATTTTGAGAAAACGACATAATTTTCTCACACAAACCAATGACATAACAATCAATACCTGCTCACAAGAGAAGATAACTAGATGCAATATGCAAGGACTGAATATCACCAGTGATGTTCATTTAAGCCTCTAATTAATTTGGCGACCATTTCTCACAAATTAAAGTGTCAAATTGGTTGCCAACTATTAACATGTTACTCTTATGATAGCTAGTCTTTTAAACTTATAACTTTCACATATTACATTTTATACATAGATATATGTCTAAACGGTGTTTCAATTAATTGACTTTTTGCATATGGTTTATGGAGCATATATGGTGAGATCAATTCGATTAATAAACATTACTTTCAGTTCAACAGTACACTTTAAATTTGTTGTAGGTCGCATCTGCAATGAAATCTGCACTGATTTATTTTTTCTGTGTTAGATTAAAACAATATAAAGTGGTGCCAACTAATGTTGCACGGAATATGTGGATTCTATCTTACCATCAGGGGATATCTTACCTGTTGGAAACTTAAATTTTCAGGTTTTAAATTCTTCACAATTTTCTGTGTCTCAAAAAGTTTCAAAAATGCTTCTAAGCAACCACCTGCATATTATGCAAACTTGACAAACCATCCTACATTTGAACAAGAATAGGACAGTTCATCTTGAATGAAATAAATTGATAAGTTGATGTTTATACATACACGCTGCGTCTTCAGTCAAAGTAGTTTCGTTTCAAAACAACGCATTTGAATATTGTTATGTTTTGATTTACAGCACAGCGTTCACGGTGTCGTCCATATTGTTTGCATGTTGCTACTTGGCGTCTTATTTGCATATATACAAAAAATATTTGATTTGACCATCAGAAGCCGGTAAAAGTGAAGGAATTCTATTGAAATGAAAAGAAACAAATTTATTTTTCTATTTAGAAACGTTTTATTGATTTCTGGAAAAAAAAGACAAATCTCATGTACGACGTGAGGTCATGACCTTAAACCGGAAGTTGAGGTGACAGGTTGCTGAATATTGATCAAAACATGACATCTCGAGGATTTCTGCGAATTTAAGTAGTGTTTCTTAAGAAAGGAACATTCTGGATTAACTATGTAAGGAAAACTAATACTTATATCGAACTTTGAATTATTTTACTTGTGTGCTGCATAACAACCAAGTAAATTACAGACCAATATCACTAACCTGCATCACATGTAAACTCAAGGAACACATCATAACAAGCGCCACAATGACACATCTGTTCGCACTGTTCTTCCAGTCGCTGTAAGTCTTCGACTTGTAAGACTGTCCTATATCTTGTTGTCATCGATATTCATGCTATGCGCATATTTGTTTGTGACAAGTTTGAAAAGTTTAAAGTTCACACTAACGCTTTTAGAGTGTTGATTGTAAATCACTGTCTGTCTATCTAGATATTCTGCAACACCCTCTTTCGAGTATTATGGCGCACAGATAACACAGGTGTCGCTCCTCTGAAAAAAGAAGGACAGTTAATAACAGACACAAAGCAAAAGGCAGACATAGCACCGCTAGAAATATCATTACCTGAGGCTGGTGTCAAGAAACTACTGCACAACATAAACCCACATAAGGCAAGTGGCCCAGATAACATCAGTGGCAGAATATTAAAAGAATTCAAAGATCAAACAGCTCTGATTCTTACACTAATCTTTAAAACATCACTTGAAACTGGCATTACGCCAACAGATTGGAAACATGCAAATGTAGCACCAACATTCAAAAAAGGGGGAAAATACAAGCCAGAAAACTACCGCCCGATATCATTGACATGTATTTCCTGTAAACTTATGGAACATATCATCACCAAACACATCAAAAACCATCTTGAAAAGAAAAATATACTGTATGACCTCCAGCATGGCTTCCGTCAGTCTAGATCCTGTGAAACGCAACTTATTTCATTCATTCAAGAACTCACAGCAAAAAATAACAGCAACACACACATAGACTTAATTATAATGGACTTTGCCAAAGCCTTTGACAAAGTTCCTCATAAAAAATTCCTCTATAGTATAAATTAAACTATTACGGTTTCCAAACCGAAACACTGAACTGGGTCTCTGCCTTCTTAAGTAACAGAACACAAACAGTTGTCCTGGATGGAGAGTCATCTGACCTGGCTCCAGTCACCTCAGGTGTCCCTCAAGACACAGTTCTGGCCCCAGTATTATTCTTGGTATACATTAATGGTCTACCAGAATACTGCTAGGTGGAAGCAAGACTGGTTGATGGCTTTCCATCCAGACAAATGCACAGTCCTTACAGTCTCACAAAAGAAAAAACAGTTTAAACATGACTATATCCTCCACAATCACAAACTTGAACTGGTCTCTTCAGCTAAATATCTGGGCATTTCACTACAAGCAAACTTAAAATGGTCAAAACATACAGACAACATCATAGCTATAATGGCAACAAATCTTTAGGCTTCCTAAAAAGAAATTTAAAAACATCATGTCAGAACATCAAGACTCAGGCATATCTGGCGCTTGTTCCACCAAAACTGGAATATTCATGTACAGTATGGGACCCTCGCACAGTTGAACAAACTTCTAAAATCTAGATGGTCCAACGACGAGCTGCCAGATATGTCTGTAACAGGTATATTATATAGCATAACATCAGTAGTTCTACAGATATGATAAATTCATTAAACTGGCCAACACTACAAGAAAGAAGACTCCGCACAAGATTAATAATGTTCTACAAAATGGTCCATCAAATCGTAGCAATCCCATCTGCTATACTCATACCATCAGACAGTAGAACCCGCATAAATCATAATTTCACTTTCAGACACATTTCAGCCAAAAAGATACATATAAATTTTCATTTTTTCCTTATACCATAACTCAATGGAATTTATTACCAATCCATACAGTTACTGTCACAACAGTCGACACTTTCAGAGAATAGCTCACACCAGCTGTCCTCCACAAATTCATTTAATTTATTATAAGCCTATGTACATAGTTTTAATCACAATTTGAAAATTATGCACTCCAAATTCATTTTCATTATTTTAGTATTCTTGTAAATATATATATAGGCCACGCTGCACAAAACAGTAAATATAATCTTCAGATCATTGAAGGACTACTGATAACCTAAAGAAGAAGAAGAAGATTGAAAAATCAAAGTTCTGTACAATTACAATTAAAATTCGTGATATATAGTTGCAAACGTGTAGAGGTAGCGACACAATTTCACTTACCCACTACCAGCAACGTTAACTGAGGATTTGCAGATGACCTAAAAATTAATTTGCTCCAAGGTTATGACTGTTAGTAATTTACTTCCATTGCCCATTTATAGCCACTACATGTATGTACACTATGGTGAGCGACACATTCTGGAACTCAAGAAGTCTCTGAAGTTCTATTTGAATGCGTTTCGGTCATACACATCTCATACTTCGCTCTATGGGTAGCTAAACCGGTTCGCTAACCCACAACTCAACTAGTGATTTGTAGAATATTCATAACTTCCTTAATGCCGGTTGTCATAACTTCCATTAAGACCCCCAATAACTACTATTTTTGCATTTGTTAAAATTAGCGATACAATATCACTAAATTATAACCTATGCATTCCTATGACTTATTTGAGTTTCTTGAGCCATTAATAACAATCAGGTGTGAATTTGATAGGCAGATTTCTCTAGGGATCATTCAGTCTTGATTTAAAAATGTTCAGGCTTCCTGCAGTCACTACCAAGCTTGACAGGTTGTTCCAGTCGTTCACAAGTCTGTTGGAGAAACAATGTTTTATACAGTTTATCCTGCTCCTTGCTTTCTTCAGCTTCCACTGGTTCCATTCCGTTTCCTTCTATATTGGAGCGTTGGGATTCTGATATTTCGTAGTCTTTCCCTGTATGTCTTACATCTGGAGTACAACAACATTATATGACCTACAACACGGCTTTAGGTCCTCCAGATCCTGTGAAACATGTACAGCTCACCACATTTATATACGATCTCGCATCAAACAACATCAACAAACAGACAGACATCATCATAATGGACTTTGCCAAAGCTTTTGACAAAGTCCCACACTTAAGACTACAGTACAAACTCAAATATTACGGGATAACAGGGAACACACACACATGGATTACAAACTTTCTCTCATTCTGCACCCAAACAGTAGTACAGTAGCGGATCACTCGGCGAAAAAAACATTCCACACAATTTCTGAGAACAGGGTTACCACAAACATCGTATATTTATAATGTAGAATATACTAAGTATATCCTTTCATGTCATATTAAAATAATTGATGAACATTGACCATATAAAACAAAATTAGCAAAACAAAACCTACCGTTTTTGTGTCTATAACGGATCACGTTTGTCTATAACAGATCGCGCCCCCTGGCGGGCCTCTGACGGTGATGCTCGATTGCTGGTTGGTCTCAAAAAACATTTTTTGTCAGGTAAGCGACCTAATAGATACATGGACAACTTCAAAGATGATATATTAGTTAAACGCTTTTGCTCAACTACCTTCTGCTAAGTAAAATACAAATTCTTTCACGATCGACGGTCTGCTCAATTGTCTATGAGGTTCCAATAAATGAAACAAAATTCCATAACGTCACGCTTCCACAATTTGGTACAATTTTAACCGTTTTGGAACAATATTGAAAAATTCAGATCATGTATTTGGACTGTTTCTTGATTCTTGACAAAGGTAACCCATGATTGTTCAATTTCAGAAAATGATTTGATTCTAAGAAATTTATTTTTCAAAATAGAACACTAAACTCCTAGTGAGATTTCGTCCGTTTTTCGACCATGATTACCATATCACGGACCACGAAACTTGTTTGTATCTAAACAGTGACGTATATATGTCTTTGATTTATACTAGTTGAGGTGTCGATTGCAACAAAGACCAGAAATCAACATTTAAACATGCTTATAATTTACATTTTCAAAATCCTCATGAATTTCGTCGACGTATACGTTGTTTTTACTGGCTTTCTGATCTGTTTAATGTGTCATCATGTAACTCCTAAAATGATCTGTTTTCATGACTTTTGATTATATAATTCCATTCTATGAAATTGGCACAAAGAATTAGCCAGTGTATTTTTCTTTCAGTTTTAATTAAAATGTTAATTGTTCAAAACATTTTTCAATAATATTTATCAAGGGCATGACTTCAAGAACAACTGTCATGTGTTAGATAGCATTGAAAGAGTCACAATTAAGGTTTTAATCAGTAGAAAACACTGAATAATTCTCTCTCAAAGGATTTAGCGTTTATTAGGTCACCTGAGACAAAGTCTCAAGTGACCTATTGCGATTGCCTTTTGTCCGTCGTCGTCCATCGTGCGTCCGTAAACAATTTACATTTTCGACTTCTTCTCCAAAACCCCTAAACCAATTTCAATGAAATTTTGCAGACACCTTCCATGGCCAAAGGTCAACTAAAATTGTGAATTATATGGTCCCCAGCCCCCAGGATCTGAGGGGCGGGGCCAAAAAGGGTAAAATTGACTAAAATTTCAAAAATCTTCTTCTCAAGATCCAGATATGGTAGAATCAAATACTCTTCATAGATGGAAGGGTCTTAAGGTGCTTTACTAAAATTGTGAATTTCTTGACCCTGGGGTCTCACGTTTCCCCCTTGGGAGGGGGTAAACTTTACTATAGTTTATATAGGGAAATCACATTTTAGACCAACATTTGTTTAATTTCCATTGGAAGTAATTCAATTTGGGTTAGCATTATCAGTATTAGGTAGCAGTTTGATAGTATGCACCTATGAGCCCTGACTGACCCCCAGGGGCTGATGGGTGGGGCCAAAAAGGGTTGAATTGACTGAAATTTCAAAAATCTTCTTCTCAAGACCCAGATATGGTAGAATCAAATACTCTTCATAGATGGAAGGGTCTTAAGGTGCTTTACCGAAATTGTGAATTTCTTGACCCTGGGGTCTCACGTTTCCCCCTTGGTAGGGGGTAAACTTTACTATAGTTTACATAGGGAAATCACATTTTAGACCAACATTTGTTTAATTGCTATTGGAAGTAATTCAATTTAGGTTAGAATTATCAGTATTGGATAGCAGTTTGATGGTATGCACATATCAGCAGTGACTGACCCCCCGGGGCTGATGGGTGGGGCCAAAAAAGGGTTGAATTGACTGAAATTTCAAAAATCTTCTTCTCAAGACCCAGATATGGTAGAATCAAATACTCTTCATAGATGGAAGGGTCTTAAGGTGCTTTACCAAATTTGTGAATTTTATGACCCTTGGTTCTCACGTTTCCCCCTGGGGAGGAGGTAAACTTTGCTATAGTTTATTTAGAGAAATCACATTTTGGACCAACATTTGTTTAATTGCCATTGGAAGTAATTCAATTTAGGTTAGAATTATCGGTATTGGATAGCAGTTTGATGGTATGCACATATCAGCCCTGACTGACCCAGATATGGTAGAATCAAAAACTCTTCATAGATGGAAATTTGTTTTGGTTTATAATGGCAAATGATACTTTGAATATTACATGTTAATAACTTGATTGGACCTTGAATTGACAGTTTGATACTTTGAAAATTTTGAGCCTGCCCTACCCCCAAGGGCTGTAGGGTGGGGCTCAAAGGAGTCAGTGTGCTAAATTTTCTTCATTTTCCTTGTTTAGAATCAGAGGTGCTAGTTTCAAATACTTTTCAGTCTTAAATCTGCATGCTAGATATTGAATAAGGTGGTTTTATTGTTTTTTGTCACTTTGAATAATATTTCTGTTCATGTTAAAAACAAAATCAACTCTCTGTATAAATATATCAGGTGACCGTTAAGGCCCATGGGCCTCTTGTT